CACCTCATGGAGCCATGGAGAACTGAGAATCCCTGAAACTACTGCCCTGAAATCATCTTTAAACCTGAAACCAGAAATAACCCCTGAAGCCATCTTACAATTAAACAATCAAACCACTAACTACATAGCAGATGTGTATTCATTTGGTTCAAGGGAAAGGCAATACACAATTAGGGAGAGGTCAATATAAAACAGCAAAATAAGATAACAGGAGGTTCCTAGAGTAAAAGGCAACAATGGCAAATAATTATTAAATACACAATCCTGTAACACTGCAGTCCTGGTGTGTCGCTGTAAGGTAAGCACAGGACTGCAAGGTCAGTTTGAACCACAAGTTCGGTGATTCAAACTCACCAGTAGTTCCTTGGAAACCCTACACTGGGTGGCTATGAGTCAGAACCGACTCGTTGGCACTTAACAACAACACCATAAATCAAAACTGACTTGCCAGCACTCAAAACCAACAATTTCTGCATATATATTTGTACGTACTGCAAACATACGAGGGGGCTTCAAAAAGTTCGTGGGAAAAACGAACTAAAAGATAATGGAATTTTTAGGGCAATATTTTCCAACAAACTTTCCTAAGAACAAAGTTGAGAAGGGGTGGAAAGGTGGGTGGAATGCAAATAGGAACTGCAGGGCGGAAGTAGAATGACTGTGGTTGCAGCCAAGGGGATTGTAGTCATTGAGATGAAACACAGTGTGTGATTTATTGAGTGTACAGCTGATGATCTTGTCTGTAAACCAGCACTCAATCTCAATAAAAAGTTAAAAAAAAGATAATGGAATTTTTCCAGGGAATTTTTGAAGGCCCCTTATGTATTGTTGTTAAGTGCTTTTGAGTAGGTTCCAACTCATAGCAACCCTGAATAGGGTTTCCAAGGAGCAGCCGGTGAGTGTGAACTGCAGACCTTGTGGTTAGCAGACCAGTGCTTATCTTACAGTGCCCTACCACCCCCTGTATGTACATGCATATAACAAAGCATAGAGGGGGTAAAGTTACACAAACATTTTACCAAACCCAACAACCCTGAGGGAAAGAGTTACTGGGCTAGAGGGCTTAGAAACAGTCTCAGGGGATATCCAAGTCAATCATGTTCAGCTGTTGTACTAGGAGTCTCCTACTTCATGTGGAGTGAGTGCCTAGGGTTTAAAAATCTAGCAAGCAGCCATCCAAGGCACAATTGGTCTCTACCTGCCTGAAGCAACAGAGGAAGAGAGTCAGGAATAGGAGGGTCAAGAGTAGGTGGCTAATTGCTTTCATTACAACATACTCCATAAAGACACTGCTGTAAATCTTACTTTGGGGAGTACTAACTGGAGTCTTAAACACTTGATGGTGTCCATCTAAGAGACAACTATTGGAACTATTTGCTTCCAGTTGGGAGCAAAACCTGTGAAGAAAATCAAAGACTCAAAGATCCAATTTGTCCACAGGGCTAATGAACCACATGACCAATGCCTCCACTAGCCTGAGAGCAGAAGACTCAACAATGCCCACTCAGCTCAGGATCACAACAGACAGCTGTGGACAGAATGGGAGGAAAATGTAAAACAAAATCCAAAATCATAAAAAAGACCAGACGGAGATTGGTGGAACCCCGAGATTATGGCCCTCAGATACACTTCACACCTGGAACTGAACCCACTCCCTCAAATGACCCTTCAGCTAAACAACAGACAAGCTGGGAAAGAGAACACCATCACCCACAAGGAACGCATCTGCCTAAAAATGAAGGTCAGAGGACAGGAAGGGGCAGGAAAAGAGGGAAAACTGGAAATGGGGAATCCAGGGTCAACGTAGGAAGAGTGCTGTCACACTGAGGGGGCTGTAGCCGATGGCATGGAACATGTGCATTAACTGTGGAATAGGAAACTAATTCACTTTGTAAACTTTCACCAAATCCACAATAAAAAGTTCTGGAAAGGAAAAACAAAAACAAACCGAAACCAAAACCAAGACTGTTTAGCTTAATTAGTAAACAATGTCTGCCTGAAGCAGGGCTGGGGAACCTCGTCTCTGCCAAAATGTATAATTCATACGAAATTATCAACTTAAAAATTAGCCTGCTACTTGCGGGGTGTACCCTTTGGTTGTGTGAATGGTTATATATTCCTGAGTGTTTCAGTGTACATCCAAAAAACAGGAAATGGAAGCAAATGCTGTTGAATGATGACACATGGAGGGGATTGTAATCGTTGCAATGAAATGAAATACGATAGGATGAATGTGAAGTCGATGTTCTCCCATGTAAACCATCACTCAATTCACAATAAAAACTTAAAAAATGAGCCTGCTATATTTGGTCAAACAGTTAATTAACTCACCCCCAATGTGATGGCTGGTGTGGCACTGTGGGCTAATGTGTCAGACTGCAAAGTTGTTTGAATTGCAAGGTCAGTGGTTCAAGCTTACCAGCCAGTCCTGGGAAACCCTATATAGGGTCACAATGAGTCGGAACTGACTCAATGACACTTAACAACAACAACAATGTGATGGCTAAGGAGCTCTCTGGTAGCACAGCTGTTACAAGTCAGCCTGCTAATCTCAAGGTTAGCAGTTTGAAACTACCTGCGGTTCCATGGGAGATGAGGCTTTCTGCCCCCATAAAGATTCACAGCCTCAGAATCCCTATGCAGGGTTACTATGTGTTGGAACCAAATCCATGGCACATCACCACAACCACCAATGTGATGGCTGGAGTCCTGGTGTGGTGCTGTGGGATAACGCACTGGACCACAAGGTTGGTTTGAACTACAAGGTCAGTGGTTCGAATTCACCAGCTGCTCAGAAACCCTATACAGAGTTGCTATGATTCAGAGTCGCTATGAGTCAGAACCAACTTGACAGTACTTAACCACAACAACAATGTGAAGGCTGAAACAGTGGAGGTCTTGGAAGGACCAGACCAAATGATTTCATGGCCCTTACATGGCCACTGGGCTGGACATTCCCCACCCTGCTCTCTGGGACTAAACTGACAACAGCAAGGGTAGACTGGAACCTTAGGGAAGGCTGTGAGTTTAGGTTAATGGGGAAGACAAGAGAGAAGGGTTTCAGAACTCAAAGAATGTCATCAATGTCACTAAAACGCACATGATGAAACAGTTTAGGTGTATGTTTTGCTGTGTATATTCTCAAAAACAACAAAAGAAATTTGAAAGGAAAAAAGGTCTCTGTGAACCCTCTGTTGAGATGCCATCTCCTTTGGGAGCTTTGCTGGTCCTTTGGGTGCTGCCCAGGCTGGTCAGACGTCCTCCTGCACAGCACATGCCACGCTGTGCGCCACACCGACAGCAGGCCAGGAGGGCACAGGAACACCACTGCAGAGGTGAGGAAGCTGGGGCTCAGAGAAGTGAGCCAGCTTTCCCCAGAGTCAGCTCCTGCACTCTCCCCATTGCCTCATGTTGTTCCTAAAATCAAACATCCACAGGCACAACCCTGCTTGCCCCAGGATGGGTACACAGTAGGTGTGCAGATCTGCTGCTCTCAGATGGGAACAGCTGGCAGCCCCCAGCACAGGCTGGGCCAGAGCCAAGTCAACAGGCCCAGTGAACAGACAGGAGTGGTTCCTGTGAACTAAGAAGTCTGCTTTCTGGTTCAGCTTCTGCTCTGCTCAGCAGGGCGGAGGTGGTAAGCAGGAACCCACCTTGCAGGCACCTGACCTACACAAGGTATGCAGGACTCTGCTTGTGCCAGGCCCCTTGACCAGGGAGGGTGACAAGGCCCCACCTGACCTGAGATTTCACCACCCGCTCAGGGGGCAGACTCCCTGGAGCCCTCACAGGATCTCATAAAGGTTGGGAGTGAGTCAGCATCATCTGAGAGGCAATATCCAGCCATCCAGCTGACAATGGAGGCGGGCAGAGCCTCACAGCACCCCTCAGTAGTGGTCCTCAGAGGACTTCCTGTTCTGGGCCCTTTGGAGAGGACTGGGCTCAGCTGGCTGCTCTCTGGGGCCTGTGAGGGGCCAGCCAATCAGCCTAGCCTAAAGAGACCCCTGTAGCAGCCTATCCCGAAGAGCCCAGCAGACATGCACTGGATGCTGCAGATTGGCCCTTCAGCAAGGTGGTCTTTGTGCCAGCCCTATGGGGTGGGGGGCTCTGAAGGGCATGCAGGAAACCCGCAAAGGCAGACGTCTCACACAAGGCAGTTCAGTTCCTCTGCTGGAGGCCTGCCCTCCTGAAGCCCCAAGCCAGCAGGGACCCACAGAAGGCTATAGTTCTGGGCAGTGACTGCAGAACTAGGGGGTATCTATGATGAGGCACAGAAAGGTCAAATCCCTGCTGAAGACCAGCATTACCTCCCACCCCTGAGCACTGAAGCCCCCAAGGCCCCGGGCACCCTTTCCTGAGCCTTTTGGGAGGATTGCTGCCACAGACTGGCTGAGGATGGGAGAAGACAGGGCAAGACAAGCCTTCATGGTCTGGCCCTCACCCTCCTCTCTCCACACCTGCCCACTTCCCTCCTCACTGTGGCCACGCATAATGTTCTCGTTCACAGTCTTATGGATGCTGAGTTTTCCATCTGCAACACTCCTTCTCCCTTCTCTTCCTCTTTTCAACTCCTACTTCCTTCTTCAGGTTTCCACCTCCTTAAAGAAGTCTTCTCTGCCATCCTCTGGTCCCAATCTAAGTGTCCAGCTCTTTCTCTCCCAGGCCTCACCCCTAGTTTCTCCTCTGCCTTCCCCACCAGACAGAAGCTGGGAATGGTGTCTACTCTCTTCAGCTATGTATCCCACACAGCAAGTCCAGTGCTTGGCACTTAGTATAGTCTCAATTAATATTTGTTGAGTAAAGAAATGAATAGATGCAACAAACAAAAAACCACTCCTGAAGCATATGGTAATTTGCCTACCCTCATGGGATGGGAAGGAGATCTCAGCCCAGCCCTGGTATCTCTCCCAGGAGATGCCTTGCCTGGGCTTTGTCACTACCCCCAGCCCCCACCCACGTGTGTGTGCCTGTGTGCCTCCACCCTTGCCCAGGGTGCTCACCTTTTGCTTAGCTCCTTCAGGGCTCCACTTCGGCACAGGCCCAGGTAGTCCCCCAAAAGCTTCAGCTGCTCCCGTCTCCTCCTAATGAGGTGCATCCGCTCCACATGCTCGTACAGAGAGGCGTTCACCAGCTGCAGGTTGATGAGGGGCTGGGCCCGGATCTGTGTCAGGAACTTCAGGGCCTGCCGGCAGATCTGGAGACACCACCAGAAATCAGTCGCCCAGGCACCATGCTATCTACTCACTCACCCATCCTTCCAACAACGTTCCAAGAGAAGGAATGTGATCTTCCATTTTACAGATGAGGAAACTGAAGCTGGTAGGGTCAGGGTTTGAACTCAGTTTATCTTCTTCCATGGCAAAAGGCTGCTGCCCCTCCCCAACCATGTTGAGTCCCTTCCCCCACTAGGCTTCAAAGACCCTTCCCACTATTTCCTGTTGTCCCAGCCCCCATTTTCCTGCCTAAAGGGAAGAGGCGCTGTGCTTCCCCACCAGGCCCTGACTCAGGAACCAGGTGGGCTGAGTCAGGCTCCAACAACAGGAAACCACAGATCTGACACTGCTTAACAAGAGGTTTGCTCCCCAGCTCTCACCAGAAGCAACAGCTGGGGGCTCCCCACGTCTGTGTGTGGAAGAGCCAAGTGTCCAGTCTCAGCCTCTCCCAACCAGCAGCCCTGAAGGTTCTACCATCAGCCTGGTGCTAATGACAGGGCAATTATTGGACACGTACTATTTGCCAGACACTGGGCTTGGGCCTCGACCACATCCTCTGTTAATCCTGCTAAGAACCCAAGGCAGAAGTAAGTCATCAGCCCTGTTTTACAGATGAGGTAAGTGAGGCTCAGAGAGGTTGCAGTGACTTAACCAATCCTGCCTTTTGTAGGTGTTGTCTCTGCACGCTGGGCTGCCACACTGACCACTGAGAACCTTCTCTCGCTGCAGTTTCCTCATGGCCATGATCAGAGGATGAAGGGACTAAGGTGTTCTCTCCATCTATTCCTGAGACTTATCCTGTGTTGGGCTTTGGAGTCAGGAATGGGTTTGAATCCGGTCTCCAGCATGTCTTAGCTGTCACACGTGGCCTTGTCACATGTATTTAATCTCTGACTCAGTTTCCTCATCTGTAAAGTGGGGATAATAAAAGCTCCTACACCATTTGTGGGGAGTGTGGTGGCACTGGACTGCAAATTACAAGATCACCAGCCACTTCACAGGAGAAAGGTGAGGCTTTCTGCTCCTGCAAAGACTGACAATCTCGGAAACCCTATACAGGGCCACTATGAATTGGCACTTAACAACTTCATTTGTATGATTGTGAGTTTAGATTAAAGGCGACAGTCCATACACACTCCTGGCCCAGGGCGTGTAGCACATCCCCAGTAAATGTGAGCTACGATCAGACTCTGCGGGTGCCTAGCTGCCCCCTTGAGAGAATGTCACCAGACCTCAGGAGAGCTGCTTCTGTGTTAGGGGCTGAGAAGGTCTCTGGCCTCCTGTCTCCCAGCTCCATCAGCATGCCTCAGGTCTTGTCTCTTTTCCCAATCCCTAGAGCTCTGAGGTACTAGCCCCCTCCAGTCTAAGACAGCCCGATGGCAAACCCCACTGGTGACAGGGATCAAACTGCTGCTCTCCAGTCCCAGTGCAGCTCTTCCCACGCCTCAGCCTCGGGCCTTGGGTGAGGCTCCCATGAACTAACACAAAGGAATGTGTAAGGAACACTGCCAAGTGCTATGGATGGGCAAGGGCTCGGTGCCCCCCAGGGACTGTTGTAGCCTGTGGGCGAGGAGACAAAGAAAGAGGCCTCAGCCCTGAACCAACAGCCCGCCAAGTACCAGCTAGATCTAGGCACAAGTGGGTCAGTCAGCATGGTAACAGCACACAAAAGGCCCCAAACTCTAAGCCAGCCACTTTCCATTGTCATGTCTCTGTTCTCCTGCTGGTCAGTGATCTTTGGAAAGAAACTGGATATTCCTGACCTCATATAAGCCTAGAGATTATTTTAATTTTTTACTTAGAAAAAGAAGCCCTTGTGGCATAGCAGATTGGGCTGTTAACCAGAGGGTCGGCAGTTCAAATCCACCAGCTGCTCAACAGGAGAAAGATGAGCCTTTCTAGTCCCATATAGATTTACAGCCTTGAGTCATTTTTAGGTTGAATTTCTTCTAACAAAGGTAAATAACACAAAAAGCCCAGTGAAGTCAACTTCTTTGGGGTTTCTCCTCCCCAGGATGCACAGGTTACCAGGGGAGGAGCAGGAGGCACGAGGAGCAGGAGGCACCAAGCAAGACTGCATCCCCATTCCACAGTCCTTTCAAATAGAACGGACTCTGAGGATCACCTGCCCTGCCCGCTGATGAGCACACAACCACAGGGCAAAGCGTGCACATCTGGCTGGCCTTGGGTCTGGAGAAAAGCAAAGAGCTTCTTCCTCCTCTTTCATGTCTGCCTTATTAGAATCTGTGCCTCTGGAAGAAAGCAGGTTTGCATCCTTTGAAGCACATTGAGTGAATTCAGGGCAGCAGGCATGACAGGAGAGGCAAAGGGCACTGTCGTTAAGTGACAGGCACAGACTGCCCCAGCGGACATGCATTCTGAGGTTTAGTCATCACAACAACCTCTACACACACACACTAAGTCCTCTTTACAGGATGAAAAAAACCACAAACCCAACCACAACCACTGTCGTCCAGCCAATTCCGACTCATAGAGACCCTTCGTTGTTAAGTGTTATCGTGTTGCTTCCAACTCATAGTGATCCTATATAGACTTTCCAAGGAGCAGCTGATGTATTTGAACTGCCAATCTTGTGGTTCTCAGATAAGTGCTGATCCTCCAGTGCCACACCAGGAGTTGAAACATAACGGCCTCATGGGGTTTCCAAGGCTGGAAATCTTTACAGAAGTAGACGGCCACATATGAAATGGCTAGTGGACTCAGTCAGCAGCTGAGCACCTAAGCACTGGGCCACCATGGTTCCTAGACGAGGAAGTCAAAGTTAAATAATTGGCTCATGGTAAAGTGACCAAAGTTAGCCAGAAAAGAGAAAAACTGGAAAGATCTTAGACTGTATCTTATCCAAAGGCATTTGGTGAACATAAAAAAATGTGCCCAAGATATTACAATGCTGTTGTTGTTGTTGTTAAGTGCTGTTGAGTCAGTTCTGACCCATAGCGACCCTGTATAAGGTTTCTGAGGAACAACTGGTGGGTTTGAACCACTGACCCTGCTGTTAGCAGTCCAGTGCTGATTCTACAGTGCCACACCAGGAATCCAGATATTACAATACTAAGTGAAAAAAGCACATTATAAAGCAGCATGGGTCCAATGCTGTATAAAAAGTAGATCTAGTCACTTAAGTTGTTAAGTGCCTTTGAGTTGGTTTTGACCCATAGTAACCCTGTATAGGGTTTCCAAGGAGTGGATGGTGAACTTGAGCCGCCGACCTTGTGGTTCAAACTGACTTTGCAGTCCAGTAAATAAGCACCACAGAAAAGGCTGTCGCCTGCAGGGTGACTGTTTCAGGGTGATGACATGAGTTTGATTTGTCTTTGGGCTTTTCTGTCATTTTAAAACATTAAACAATAACTATACTCTGTACAGGGTCGCCATGAGTCAGAACCGACTCCACGGCACACAGCCACCACCACCACACTTCATCTTTACAATGGGGGGATCCCCAGAAAGTGCTTTCAAAAACATGATTTTTAATGAATAATAGTAATACAATATGAAATAGGTGAAGCGGTTTCAGGGCCTGTAGGGCCGGCAAAGGCAAGGTGGGTCACTCAGGGAAGAAACAGTTGGCCAGCCTGTCCATGCATCCATGCATCCAAGCATCCATCCATGCATGCATCCATCCATCCACCCATCCATGTATCCATCCAAGCATCCATCCATGCATGCATCCATCCATCCACCCATCCATGTATCCATCCAAGCATCCATCCATGCATGCATCCAACCATCCACCCATCCATGTATCCATCCAAGCATCCATCCATCCATGCATCCATCCATCCAAGCAAGCATCCATCCATCCATGCATCCATCTACTCTGTCATGTCTTTGTTCTTTATCACCTAGCTACCTGCTGGTGCCTCAATCAATTTTGTCTGCAGTCCTAGAGCAGCAGACAACCATTCTCAGATACCCATTTGGGCACCAGGGCAGGCACTGACAGACCTCTGTTCTGGGGCTGGGGACCAACAAACAGCCAGTTTTTCTCTTGGTCAGCTGCCCCACATCACAAGAATGGAACTTATGACACCCCCCCATTAGCTGAGAAGCAGCGGTGAAAACGGGTAACCGACCTTCTGTCTCTCAGCAGTCCTGGCCTCACACTTACCGGGCGCTTGGTGAGGTCCCAGTTGTGGATGATCCTGGCTGGAATCACTGAGGCATCATCTTGGTGGCAGATGTCACAGTAATAGAGGCCAGAGAAGGCACAGAGTTTGGGTCGTACAAATGAGAAGCCGATTTGCCGGGAGCAGCCTGGGGAGACAGATGGTGGGAGAGTGAGCAGCTGTAGTCACAGGCAGCTCCTGAACCAGAGTCGCTACTCGGGTGGAAAGGACCTGCTATTTAACCTTTGTGGTTTTGTTTTTAAAAGAAAAGTACAAAGATAAAAACCACCACCACTCATATTCAACCCTATTCATTAACCTTTACAACAAAACACTTGTCTTCACTTTGCTAAGGTAACTGATGCTCAGAAACCAGCCCAACGTCACACAGTGATTAAGTAGCATAGTTGGAATTCGAATTTGGGTTTGGTTGGTCCCCAAACCCACATTCTCATCCATTACCCCTATCTGCCTTTGGTCAATGTACCCACTACTTGCTCACTAATGCCAACCTGCCCTAGAAATGGGAACAACTAAGTCAGGCCTCAGGAAACAGGGAAGGAGCTGGAGACAGGCGGGGATGTCAGCAGAAGGCAGGGCATCCTGAACACTGCCTGGTGCCAGCTGGACCCCCAGAGCTCCACCTACTCCTAAGAGGGTGCAGGGCCCAGCGTCAGCTCCTCTGGAGGCCCCTCCGAAGTTGGGGACAGTGGTTGATGCAGTGGCGTGTGCCCAGGGCAAAGAGCAAACCCCGAACCCATGTCCCGCCTCCCTCAGAACTGGGATAAAGGCCTTTTGGTCTCGGGACAAGGAGGACCAGTGCTTCTGCTTACCAGCTGCCTCATCTTCATCCAAGGAGACTCACCAAATTTCTCCAAGATTTCATTTCTGTATCTGTGTAATTTACCTACTACTAGCTAGCTTAAGGTGATTACAAAGTTTATATGACACAAGGTTTTGTTAAGTGTCCTGTCAACTAGGAAATACAATCCCCCGTCGATGGTCAGTGTCTGGGCTTCCAGTGCAGAAAGGAAGGGCAAGCTTAGTCCTGGCTGGCAAGTGGGCAGGAAGGAGTCAGTGAGAGCTGCCCCAGCCACAGGTGGGGAACCTTCCTCTCTGAATCGGGCACCTACAGGCTAAGAGCACTGTGTGAGTGTTGGGGGTGGGCAGGGGAAGAGCGGGGCTTGAAGACTTTCTACAGAAACCTCTGTGGTGCCTGGCTTCTCCCAGCCTCCTGGGGAGCCAACTGCAGCTCACTTTTTCCCAGACACCTGAAGCAGCCTCCACCCTGACAAGCTCTACCCTCTCCTGTTCTGGCACTCTACGGCAGGGCAGCCTCCTGCCAGCTCCTGGATGGCCCCCGAGATGGACAATCTGGACAAGGAGGCATGGGAAAAACTAAAAATAAGGCGTGAACAGTAAAAATTCATGCAGCTTTGAAAAGTATGGGTCGGGGGGAGACCCTAGGGGATCCTGGCTAAGAGCGCAGGCCCTCATTCTGGCTCCACCACTTAACTTGCCATGTGACACTGGATAAGGTACTGCCCAACTCCCTGACTCAGTTTCCTCATCTCTAAACGGTGATGATGGAGAACTTCTCCCTAGAGGGTTGTTGTGAGGATTAAGTGAGGTAATCCAAATAAAGCATTTAGCCCAGTGCCCAGTACATAAGTCTTAGATTTGATGATGATAATAATGACATAATGGGTGTACTGATTTGTACTAATATCTGTAATGCATAAACAGAAATAGAGACAAAGCTGTGCTGTCTAATGATAGGCCACATGTGCCTATTCAAATTGAAATCACTTTTAAAATTCAGATTTTTCATTACGCTGGTCATATTTGAAGTGCTCGGGAGCCACATGTACAGGCAGAGAACACTGTCCGCATCACAGAAAACTCTCCTGAACAGAGCTGGCTAGCATGAGCCCATTTGTGCAATTAAAAATAAATTGTGCGCACTTACAAAAACATTTGGAAGGAGACCATGCCTCTTACTATGAAAGAATGTATCATGGTAGTAAGACAATCCAGGGTGGCATGCTTAGCTTGCTGGAACTCTGAGTAGAGGGCAGCAGATAGCTGGAGCTGCTACCCACAGGCTCTGCCCATCAGCAGGAGGTGGCAGGAGAGGGAAAGGAGAGAGCGGGCTGCCCCAGTGGGTGCTGGGAGGTGCTGAGCCTACAGGGTGGGGTGCAGGCCCTCAGGGAAAAGAGGAGAGGGGTGCAGAGCCTAAACCCAGAGCCCACAGGAGACAAGCAGCCTAGGGGCTGGCGGGAGAGTGTGTCAGCACCTGCGCAGAAGCAGCCCTGGGAGTCAAGACCTTTCTCAGTGGGGATGGCCACCAGGTACTGCAGCAGAAATCCGTTCTCCCTGGTGGCAAACTTCAGCACCTCCTGACAGTTTTCGTCTAGACTCCCGCCGAGCGTTACTGCTTCCTCAGCCGTCTCCAGGTAGGATGTCAGGACCTTGCGCACCAGGTCCCTCCAAAGGGCGGCCTCCTCAGCATTCCCAGCCTGCAGCTTTAGGACAGCCTTGGCAGTAATGATTTTGAAGCAGGATGGGCCCCCGAGGCTCGTGTCCGGCAGGATGTCTCGGATGGTCTCCACCCCGTGGCTGTCACTTAACATCTTCTCGTTGTTCTTCACACGGAAGCATTTCAGAGACTCCAAGGACAGCGAAAAAACATAGGGCACCCAGGTCCTGTCCAAGTACAGGTACAGAAGGGATTCCTTAATAGCATCTGGTTCTGGAACTTGGTCAGATGACCAATCAAATTGAGTGCCCTGGAAGACTTCAGGCTCCGAGAGGGGGTCCAAGTGGGAGGGGAGGCCCTCCTGGAGGGCTTCAGGGAGGTCCTCGGCCTGGTCTGGGTACTGGATGTTCACCCACTCATCCTCGTGCTGAGGCCGGCATTTCTGCAGAGCTTCCCGCACTCGGTCCAGCCAGTCCTCAGCTTCATCCTGCGAGGATGCCCGCAGGGTCAGCTTCTTGCCAGAGAACAGCAGCTCGAAGCGCCCATCGCTGTGGGCTGGCCCCACAGACTCACAGCGCAGCAAGGAGCAGTTCTCTACACAGGTGCGCTCCTCACCACTCAAGTAGAGGCGGAACTCCAGTGGGGAGAGCTCGCAGAAGAGTTCTTTCCAGATGCCCATGGCTCCCCGCCGCTCCACTGTGCCCAGCTTCAGGAGGCCCCGGAATGGGTTGGACAACCCTAGAGGCAGAAAGAGGCATGTTAGACAGGGGCCTGCCCCTCACCATGTAAAACATCTTCTGGTGCTGCTGTCCCAGTGGGTATGGGCAAAGTGACAGCACCGGACCCAACAGTCTGGAGCACAGCCAGCTGGAATTCTAGAAGCCAGAGGAGAGTATTTATTCAGTGTGTTTATCCAAGGCTCTGCTCCCCAACACTGTTGATGCTGCTTCCTATATTTCAGAGAAAACAAACCACTCAAAAGATGCCCTCCACACACCCCTCCCTACACAGGCTGTCCCTCCAGCTTCTGTGCCGGGAGGGATGAATGGATTGTGCTTGTCTGAGGTCAACCCCCTCATTTGTGCAGGCGAGCTGCCCCTCCCAGTCGCCTACTCGACAAGGACATCCCTACAGTACTTCTCCCCTCTCCCAGGTAACTGTTTTCCCTTCTCTGCTGGATGATTCCACACAAACATGTTACTTCTCCTATCTTTAAAAATACCTCTCAGCTCCACTCACAGCTCTAATTGGCACCTTGTTTCTCTGGTCCCCTGAACAGGAGAATTCCTTGAGGAGGTACTGAAACTGTTTCCAACTCTGCTCCTATTCTTGAACCCACTCAATAAGTCTTCTGTCCCCTCATCTCACTGAAACTGCTCTTTGTAAAGGCCACCGATGTTCTCCTGGTTCCCAAATCTAAAGGCCAACCCTCTGTCCTCATCTTGCCTGACCTACCAGCAACACTGGACACACTCAACCTTCCTTTACGCCTGAAACATTTCCTTTTCTTGGCTTCGGAGACACTGCTCTTGGGTCTTCTCCCACATCACTGGCTACTGTCTCTCCGGCTTGCTGCCCCTCCTCTTCTGACCTCTAAATGTTGGAGTGCCCAGAGCTCCTGGGTCCCCTTCTCTTCTCAATGGACACCTACTTCCTAGCTTAGGGCTTTAAACATCATCCATATACTATGGACTCCAGATTTCATCCGTAGTCTGACCTCTTCAGAATCATCTTCCATCGGCTCCATGTATGTCTAGTAATCATCTCAAACTTGGACATTTACAAAAATGAACTCCTGATTGTCCCACCTCAAACCCGCTCCTCATCTCATTAAAAAAAAAAAAAAGGCAAACTTAATCCTTCCAGTGGCTTGGGCTAAAAACCTTGGAGGTATCTGTGATTTTTTTTTTCTTTGTCTTTCACACTCTACATCCAATCCATCAGCAAATCCTGAAAGCTCTACCTTCAACACATATCTAGGATCCTCATTTCTCCACACCTCTACCACTACTGCGCTGGTCCAATCTCCCATCATCTCTGGTGTGGGATGTGGCAAAAACCTCCTACCTGGTTTCTTTCCCCATGTGGTCCTTCACATAGCAGTCAGGATGTCCCTTATAAAAGATAGGTCAGGTCAGGGCCCTCTGCCCATAACTCTGCAATGGCTGCCATCAAAAGCCAAAGCCCTCTCAGTGGGTCACGCAGTCCCCCGTGACCCTTCTCTGACCCCATTTCCTCTGCTCCAGACACTCTGCTGTTCTGTCACCGTCACAGGCTCTTCACATTTGTTTTCTGGCTCGAAGCACACAGATCACCTTGTGCTTCCCTCCCTTGTGTCACATGTCCTCAAATGCCACCTCATTAGTGAGAGCTTCCTTTCAGTACACCCCCCACCTGGCACTCGGTGACTTACTGTTCTGGATGGCAGTGGGGGGGGGCACAGTACTTAGCTACCACTGATTATACTGTATGTTCACTTGCCATTTCCGGATTTCCTGTTCTCCCCCAGAATATAAATCTCATCAAGACGCTGCTTTGCTTCCTGTGTCCCCAGCACCTGGCACATCACAAATGATCATAAATATTTGCTGAATGAATGAATGAATGAATAAGTGAGGGAATGCTAATATGTGCCACATTAAGCTCCCTCCCTGCTACCCTGGGGTTTGCCACCAGTCAGGGGATCTGGAGGACACACAGTTGCCTCTCTCCCAACTGGGACTGGCATTGGCAATTTTGAACTACTGTATAGGGTACCCCCCAGGCCCTTGGAGGGTTCAGTTCCCCTGCTCCTCAGGGAACCTGGTGGCCTATGTGCAGAGCACACCCTCTCTGGCATAGTTATAGACCATAATCACCACAGGGGCTGAAAGGAAAACCAGACGGAAGTCAGCATAGAGATTAGGGTCCCACCCACACTACCCAGCCAGGGACCTGGAAGCTGGCCAGAATTCTCTGCTGGGTCACAGCAAACAGAAAATAAGGAGAGAAGGACTGTCTCAAGGGCAGACTTTTGTTGGTTTGTTAATCAAAGAAAACCCACTATAAGGACTACAGACAAATTGTTAAGTGCCGTCGAGTCGGTTCCGATTATAGCGACCCGGTATAGGGTTTCTGAGGGGCGGCTAGTGAGTTTGAACTGCCGACCTTGCAGTCCAGTGCATTAACCCGCAGCGCCACACCAGGACTCTAGGTTATGGTTATTGGACAGAGTCTGGAATTTCACAGGTTTAGAGATCAAGCTTGCCTCCTTTTAAACAGCACGCAGAGGGCACAAACCAAGAGTGCATCTGCTCCGCTATCTCAGATAACGGCCTTTGGAAGGCGCAGTTAACACATCTGGGGTTTCAAGAGAAGGCTGTTCTCTGGGCCACCAAGACCACCAGTGTTCTCTATAAGCCCAAGTTTTCAAGAGCACTTCCAGGGCTGCACTACTCATTTCAATATAGGAAGCAGTACTTTTGTTCTCTCTAGGCAATTCTGAGCACGATTTTATTAAGATTTTATAAGAAAATATAGAGCTTTTTCCCTGAAATGTTTTCCTGAATTACTAAGCGAGCACTCCTTATTATTACTTTCTGGGAAGAGGTTTTTCTTGAGAGAACAACCTCACCCCCATTTGATGAGGACAACAGGGGACGCCATCAAGTCACATACCCATCTGTCTCCGGTGCACCACCCAAAAGTTCTTATGATCCTGTGAGGGGGCAGCTTTGATTTTTCTGCTTTCTGGGGAAGGCACGCTAGCTTTGTTTAAGGCCCCCATGGATTGGCTTTTTCTTGATCCTTGAGAAAAAGGCTTGTGGAGAGCAGGCCTTGACTCTGGAGAACCTTTGGAAGAAGCTACATTGTGATCTGAAAGACTTTCTGTGGGTTGCTCCTGGGGAGGCCGGTAGAAATCATCTTCTGAGATCCAGCTCTTGCTTTTCTATTAGGAAAGAAGTAAAGACAAGACAAAGGTTTTGTTTGTTTCGTTTTGAATTTTGAATTCACATAAGTGTACAATTCAGTGGTTTTCATACATTAATAGAATCGTGTGACCATCACCACAATTTAAATGGAAAACATTTTCTTTACTCCAAAGGGAAACCCCAGGCCTATTAGCGGCTACTCCCCATTTCCTGTCAAGCTCCCTAGGCAATCTTTAGTTTCTTTTGCTTCCTTGGAAGGTGTTGCCTGTTATGGACATTTTCCATGAATGGGATCATACACCGGAGATCTTTCATGACTGAATCTTTCACTTAGATGTTTTTATGGTTCATCCATGTTGTACATGTTTCAGTACTTTATTTCTTTTTATTAGTAAGTAACATTCTATTGTATGGATAACCCACATTCTGATCATTCATTCATTAACTGATGAACATTGGGTTGTTCCTACTTCTTGACTATTACACTGCTGTGAACATTCATGTCCACACTTTTATGTGAACCTAAGTTTGTAAATTCTCTTTGGTACCTCGCTAGGAGTGGAATTGCTGGGTAAACCTGTTTACCACTTTGAGGAACTGCCAAGCTTCCCCATCATGTTACATGAGATTTCTCCACATCCTCACCAATACTTGTCATCAACCATCCTGTTGGGTGAGAAGTGGCATGTCATCATGCCTTCAATTTGCATTTCCCTGACGAAGAGTGATGCTGAGCGTCTTTCCACATGCTTGTTAGTCATTTGCATGTCTTCTATTGTCCGTTTTAAAATTAGGTTATTTGTCCAATTTACCTCTTTTTCTTTTGTTGTTCATGTTTTGGTGTCATGTTTAAGAACCCACTGCCTAATCCAAGGCCTTGAGGATTTACACCTATTTGGTCTTCCAAGAGTTTTATGTTCAAGCTCTTCCATTTATGCTTGTGAGACCAATTTTGAGTTAAGTTTTGTGTCTGACATAGGAACAGACCCAACGTCATTCTTTTTTCATGAGGACATCCAGTTGTCCCAGCACTATTTATTGAAGGGGTATCAGGTCTTACAACTCTGCTTGTAGGATTTGAGGTGAAGAAAGCCAAGTCCTACTGGCTACCTCACTCTTTGCTGCTCTCTTCAGACTACAGGCCGCTGGGCCCGCCCCATTGCTCTGCTGCTCTCTCTGAATTTGGAGTTGCTCACTGGGCTGTGAGAATGAAGTATCTAGCAGCTTCCCCCCCACACTATTTCAAGCCCTTTCTGCCTTTTTGTAACTAAACATGAAGCCAGCTGGATGGCCCAAGTGACTGTCTACACAGAGGAAATGAGTCACACAAGCGGTAGGAGCAGCCCAGCAATTTTGCTAAGTGTCACCAATCTCACCCTGACTAGGCTATTTCCAACTCTGAAATCAAGGCATACTTTCTGCTCTGACAGCCAGGGAGGTGTTGTCAAGCTGTGCGGTCCTGAGAGGTTTGGGTTGGGCAGCTGAAGCCACTGAGACATTACCAGACCTCCTGTGTGACGAGTGGCCAGTTCTGAATGAGGTGCTTGGTGGAGGCCTCACAGAGCTGGACCTCCAAGGCTTCCTCCTCAGGGTCCTCAGAACTGCCAAGTGCATCCTTCTGCCCTGGACAGGGTGGCTACTGGGGACCCTCTATAAAATCAGATTCTAAGTCCAGCTTGCCTAGATCAGTGAGACACAGGAGAGCTCCCTGAGTAATATGGGCAGGAAGAGCAAGCCCAGCAACCATGTGGCCTTCCTGGCAGCCCCCCAGGTCTAGCCTACATACCTGCAACCATGTAATACCCGCCCCGGGCCTTGCTAAAGGCTCTGAAGGGAGAGATCGCTGTCCTTTAAGACTCATGGCCTCCTCCTAAAAGCCTCCACGTCCTTCTGTGTTAGCCCCATCGTAACATCTACAAGGCTGTTCAGAACCATCATTTTTCTTGGTATCTCCAGCAAAAGTGCCTGGCACAGTTATAAATGATGCAAGAATAAATCACGATTATCCACACATCCTTCACATAAAATAGCAAGGGTAGTGTCAAGTAACTGGAGGGAGGGAGGAGACAAGTGGGAGTTTTGAGATGAAGGGTGCTCACTGGTGAAGGCTCCTATCTCTGTTCAGCAGGAGGAGGACCACCAGGAACTGTCCAGTCAGAGCTGCTGTCTAGGGACCATCTTTTGTCCTCTAGGTGTACTGGCACTTCAGTGTGACCCTGCCTCCCCTGCCTCTCCAGGGTCCACAGGCATGAGCAAGAGAGGAAAAGTTGGCATGAATGCCACAATTTCCTTTTCTTCTACATGTCCCCACTTCTCACTCAGGGCCCCACAGTGTCAGCTCCTTCCCTTTTGAGAGTGGGGAAATCACTAGGCTTTACCACAGACCAAGAATCAGAATAAGAGAACCCCCAGGCATCACAAGACAGAGAAATGCCACCGCAAGCCACTAAAAGTACCGTGACACTAACAAGCACAGCCAGCTCCTGGAGAAGTGTCAGGCTGAGGGGTGACATGGCCACGTCTAGATGGCTTTCAGAAGGACAAAGGGCCTGCCAGGCGCCATCCCTGGAGGAGCGAAACACATGGCCTAAGTGGGTGCTTCATAAGGGTGGGGGTTAGTGTCAAGTTGTAGAACTGAGAATGTCCTCTAAGAAATCAAATCCTGACTCCTCTTTCTTGATGGTAGTGAGATCCCCCTTTCCGCCTCAGGGATGGCTCATTTTCAGCCACCCTAGGGAGACACCCCCACCCTATCCTTCTTGGCAGTAACCACAGCTATGTGATAATTAGTATGTGGAGGGTAGTGGTGGCTGTGTGCCATCGAGCTGGCTCTGACTCACAGTGACCCTATAAAGGGTTTCTAAGGCTGTAAATCTTTATGGGAGCAGAAAGCCTCATTGTTCTCCTGAGGAACAGCTAGCTGGTGGATGTCAGTGGCTGACCTTACAGTTAGCAGCCCTTACTACCAGAGCTCCTTGATTTATGTGGATTGTGTTGTTGTTGTTAAGTGCCATCGAATTAGTTCCAACCTAGAGCGACCCTATATAGTATTTCCAAGAAGTGCTGGCGGGTTTGAACCACCGACCTTACGGTTAGCAGTCCAGTACTTATCTTACCACCAGCACTCCTTGGAAATCCTGTAAGGGTCGCTAGGAGTAGGAACCGACTCAGTAATGCACAACCACCGCCACCACTTATCCTACAGCGCTGTACCAGGACTCCTAGTACGTGGGTAATTGTGTCTAAGCGAGTATCTGTCCTGTCCCATCACTGTACTCCAAACACCACGCACACAGTAGGAGGTGTTTTTCCTCATGGCTCAAATTTCTGCCAAACAGTAGAAAAGTCTACAAGGGAAATAATAACACTAGTGAGGTAAACACACCTTAGAATAACCAGCCATTTATGATCAAAAGGGAAGCATTTTCCCAAGAACAAAGTTCAAAAGGGTTGGGAAACAAGGAGGACCGGAAACAGGAAGCATGGGGAGGAAGTGGGATAAGTGATGTTACATTGAGAGGATTAGAATCAGTGAGAAGAAACTAAATGTGTATGAATTGTTGAATGTAAAACTGATGATCCACTCTGTAAACCTGCACTCAAGTCACAATGAAAAGCTGAAAAAAACCTTTTTTGAAAGGATGACTGAATGGCATTTAAGACTATGAAATGACCTCTATGTCCCGCCACCCTCCCCCACAAAAATAGAACATGAGTAAGTGAAGAAGCATAGGAAAAAGAGACCCACAGAGGCAGAGACATAGGGCAGACTCCCGCCCTCTCCAAAAGGCAGGGAGTCCACCAGGCAGGCTGCAGAGTAGGTGCCAGTGACTAGCCACTGAGTGGAGGAACAATGAATTGGCACAACTCCTCTGTGAAGAGAGATACAGCAAGACAATCAGCATGTGACACTGAACCACAGCACCAAGTGCTTCGAATCCACATTTCCCAAGCAACTATCTTCATCAGCCTCCCCTGAGGCTGCCAGAGAGGTACAGCTAACTGATTGCACTCTCCAAATGTTAACAGTTGGCACCTTAAGAGCCTCTTGAGAATCCAAGAAACAGTTACTAGTGCCTACTCTTGCCCAAATACAGAGCTCAGTAGTGACACTACACATGCAAAAGAATGAAGCCAGATCCCTACCTCACACTACACATGGAATTAACACGGGTGTACATTTTTGTGGCCTTGAATGGGCACTGGGCTCTTTAATATAACACCAAAAGTACAGCAACAAAAGATAAAATAGATGACAGAGGACACTGTCAAGAAAGTAAGAAGACAACTTGTAGAGTGGCAAAAAATATTTACAAATTCTATGTCTGATTTGTTGTTGTTTAGTGCCATCAAGTCGGTTCCAACTCGTAGCAACCCGATACAGGATTTCTATGGCTTAAAGTCTTCATGGGAACAGAAAGCCTCATTCTTTCGAAAGCGGCTGGTGGATCTGAACCGTAGATCTTGTGGTTTGCAGTCCAGTGCTTAGTGTATGAAGCCACCACACTCCAGTATGTCTGATTGTTGTTGTAAAGTACCATTAAGTCGGTTCTGACCCACAGCAACCCCTGTATAGGATTTTCCAAGGAGTAAGCAGTTGAGCTTGAATCGCTGACCTTGTGGTTCAAGCCAATTTTGCAGTCCAGTGCATTAATCCACACTGCCACACCAGGACTCCATGTCTGATCAGGATCCACGATACATAAAGAACTACAACTCAACAATAAAAGGACAAATAGCCCACTTGAAAAAATGGGTAATTTGAATAGACATTTTTCCAAAGATTTATAAAAGACCAATGTTGTTGCTATTGTTACATGCTATACAGTCAGTTCTGACTCATAGTGACTCTGTATAGGGTTTCTGAGGAGTGGCTGGTGGGTGTGAACCACCGACCTTGTGGTTAGCTGCCAATAACCTCATATGCAGTGCTTATCCTACAGCGCCACACCAGGACTCCAAAACTCCAATAAGCACAAGAAATGATGCTCAACATCATTACACATTAAGAAAATGACAATCAATACCACAATGAGATGTCCCTTCTTCCCCATGAGGATGGCTATAATCAAAAAGACAGACGATAACAAGTGTTGCCAGTGATGGGGAGAAACTGGAATACTCACACATTGTGGGAGGAAGTGGACAAGTGATATGAAACAATTAGGCAGTTCCTCAAAAAACTAAACACAGAGTTGCCAAAAGTTTCCAAATAGTCCACTCCTAGGTATGCAACCAAAAGAGCTGAAAACATACATCCACACAAAAACTTTTGCATGAATGTTCACTGCAGCATTATAACCAGAGTGGAAATAATCCAAAAATCTATTAACTGATGAATGAGTAAATAAAATGTAGCCATCGAGATCAGTTGTTAGTCAAGTCTAATGGAAACACCATGTGTTTCACAGTCAAATTCTAATCCCTCCATATGGTTTTCAGTGGATAATTTTCAGTGTAATCCCTCCATATGGTTTTCAGTGGATAATTTTCAGTGTAATCCCTCCATATGGTTTTCAGTGAATTAATTTTCAGTGTAATCCCTCCATATGGTTTCAGTGGATAATTTTCAGTGTAATCCCTCCATATGGTTTCAGTGGATAATTTTCAGAAACGGGTTTCCAGGCCTTTCTTCCAATTACCTCTAGATTAACTCCAACCTTTCAGTTAGCAGTTGAATGCATTAATGAATGGCTTGTACTATGCAGACACTTACAGTATATCCATAAAATGGAATATTATCTGGCAATAAAAAGGAATGAAGTATTGCTACAAGCTGCAACGTGGATGAACCGTGAAAGCATTATGCTACATAACAGAAGCCAGCCCCAAAGGCCACATATGATACACCTGCAGGTATATAAAATGTGCACAATATGCAAATCTACAGACACAGAAAGTAGATTTGTGATTGTCAGAGCCTCACAGGAGTAAGGTGACTGGGGAGTGCAGAGTGACTGCTAGTGAGCAGAGGGGTTCTTTTATTGGGAACAAAATATTCTAAAATTAGATTTTGGTGATGTTGCATAACCTTGTGAATATGCTAAAAAAAATGCAAGAAACCCATGGACGTGTATACTTGAACTGGGTGAATCGTATGGTATGTGAATCATATCTCAATAAAGCTACAAGATCCATATAAATGGAAAAATATTGACGTTGCCAAAGACTTCATTTTGCTCAGATCAACCATCAACACTCATGGAAGCAGCAGTCAAGAAATCGAAAGACTATTGTATTGGGCAAGTCTGCTGCACAGCTCTTTAAAGTGTTGAAGAGCAAACATGTCAGTCTGAAGACTAAGGTGCGCTTGACTCTGGCCATGGTATTTTCAATAACCTCATATGCATGCGAAAGCTGGACAGTGAATAAGGAAGACTGTAGGAGAATTGATGCATTTGAGTTACAGTGTTGGAGGAGAATACTGAAAGTACCAGAGGCTGCCAAAAGAACAAACAGATCTGTGTTGAAAGAAGGCAGAGTGCTCCTTAGAAGATAGTATGGCCAAACTTTGTCTCTTATACTTTGGACATATTGTCAGGAGGGATCAGTCTCTGCAGAAAACATCATGGTTGGTAAAGTGGAGGGTCATAGAAAAAAGACTTCCAATGAGATAGATTGGCACAATGGCAGTAGTCATGGGTTCAGGTGTAGCAATGATTGTGAGGCTGGCCCAGGAATTGGCAGTATTTCATTCTGTTGCACATAGGGTTATGAGTCAGTGTAGACTTGTTAACACCTAACAACAACAACAAAGTTGCAAAAAAGGGAGGGGGCCTCTGCTTGTCTATTCATAGTCCTGACCTCTTGCTGATCTGTATGATCCGGACACTAATAGTTCAAAGGAGGATCTTATGTATGATGATAGTTTCAGTTTTGTGTCAACTTGACTGGGCCAGGATTCACAGTGGTTTGTCAGTTAAGGCTTAGTAATACCCATGGTGAGATCCACTATGAGCAGTCAATCAACTGAAAGGAACTTTCCTCGAGAGTGTGAACATGTTTGTTTACTGCTGGGTCTGGATCTTGCGTCTGACTCATCCTTTGACCTCTAGTTCTCTGAACTTGAGCCAGTGGCCTGCTCTGTTACCCGCTGATACTGGAAGTCGTCAGCAGCCTGCCACCTTACCTGCCAGACCTGCCTGCCTGTCACCTGACCCGCCAATCTTGGTTCATCAGTCCCTACAGTTATCTGAGTTAGAAGTCTGCAGCCTGACAATGATAAAGGGACTTTGGACTTGCCGTCCTTGATGGAAATCTCTCTTCTTATGTACGTACACAAGCTTCACTGATTTTTGCTTCTCTAGCTAGCCCAGTCTAAGACATGCAGAGAGGGAACTGACAAAGCCAGACCACTGCTGGGACACGCTCTGGGCTCCGGGCATCCCAGGCAGTCACCAATTTCCTAGCTCTGCCTTCATGGCCATTTTGCCCTCCCATGTAGAGTTTAACTGTGAAGCCCAGAGAGAGAGGCACCCACACCTGTACACAACTCTCACCTTAGCACCAACCCCACCCCACACTACGCTTCCCCCTTCCCGAGGACAACCTCGTTCCCTCTGGTAGTCTTAGAGGCGGCCCTCCCTCACCCTGCCTTTGTAGGCAGCTGGGGTGAGACTCCAGAGGAGCAGACACCACACACATACCTTTCTCACCAACGCTCTTAATCAAAGTTAATCTGGGAAACTTCAAAGGCTAGAGAAGAACAAATGTAAAATGTGAAAGGCCTTGGGTTCACAGCCTCTGCCAAGCACTTCACTCCACAATAAAACTAAGTTGTTGGCTAGGATGCTCCCCGACAGTGTGTGGCTCTGTCTGGGCTCCCCACATCTACCAAGATTTCCAGAAGGGCTTCTCAGTGCCACCTTGAGTTACCAGTGAGCTAGACTGACTGTTTCTCGAACAGTGCTATCCGATGGAAACACAACATGAACCACACATGTGATTTTTAAAGTCTAGTAGCCATAGTAAGAAGTTCTGGTGTGGTGTTATAGGGTAAGCACTGAATTTCTAACTGAAAGGTCAGCAATTCAAACCTACCAGCAGCTCCTTAGAAACCCTGTGTAGGGTCATTATGAGTCAGAGGTGACTCGAGGGCACTTCACAACAAGCCACATTCAGGAGCCCTGGTGGTGGTGTAGGATAAGCATTGGACTGTTAACCATAAGGACGGCAGTTTAAACCCACCAACTGCTCTGAGAGAGAAAGCTGAGGCTTTCTACTCCCGTAAAGGTTTATACATGACCACGCAGGTGAGCAGCATGCCGCCCATCATGACCTACTTATCCTGGAAAGCCTGCTTCTCAATGATCCGCTAGGAGTCAGAATCGACTTGAAGTCTGTGGGTTTGTTTGTTTTTAATTTTCTTTTTTTAGCAGCCACATTAAAAAATGGAAAAGGTGAAAATAATTTTATTTTATTTAACCCTATATATCTAAAATAATTGTACAATGTAATTAATAAAAGTTATTCAGATATTTTTGGACTGGTGGTGGCGGTTATGGCCGTGGAGCTGGTTCCGACCCATAGCAACCCTGTACTGGGTTTCTGCGGCTGTAAATGTTTATGGGAGCAGAAAGCCTCATCTTTCTCCCACAGAACAGCTGGTAGTTTCGAACCGCTGACCCTGAGGTTGTCAGCCCGATCTGTAACCACTATGCTACCAGAGCTCCTCGTTTTGGGACTAGCCACATTTTAAATGTTCAATAGCCAGCCACACGTGGTCAGTGACTGGTGTATTGCAGAGCACAATTTTAAAACTGGGAGTATGTTGCAAAAGGAGTATTTTCAAAGCACAGTAATTTATAAAAATATGAATTTACTAAGCAACAAGTACTAAGGGAGGAACTGCGGCTCAGGAGGGGAAGTGACTTGCCCGAGGTCTTGTGTGGGTAAGTAAGTGGTGGTGGCCAAGAACAGAGGCTGTATAGTCAGATGAGAGGTGGATGTGGGAGCCTTTCCATTCCAGCCTGGCTGACAGCCACTACTCCCCTAGCATGAACTGTGCCCCGTCCTAGAATGCTGAGGACTACGGTCTCCACGCACGGTGAGAGAGGGCAAAGGGAAGAAGGCAGAGGTCATTTGGAGTCACTCGCTGGATACATCCTACAACAGCTTTAAGACACGTCACCAAGACCTCCCCCGGAAGGAACAGCTGTACCACTCACCGGGCTGGTGGGAGAGGACACCGCAAGGTTCCATTCAGTTCCATCACCCTTGAGGGGCTTCTCTGGACCACTTCCTGGGCAGACTGCCCTAGTCTTCTCTCTCACAAGACTAGAAGGCTTCCGGTCTGAAATGTCCCCTGATGGGACAATTAGGGCAGTGCACCGCTGTGGCAAGCCCAGGATGCCAGGCAGCTCTGGCTTGTGGTCACCATCTGGAGTACGAGAGGAGGCTTGGGCAGCAAGGGGCTCTGCAGGCAAATCAAACTGGAGGTGTGTGCTGGTGTTGAGGCTGCGGCCCAACAGTGAGGCCTGGCGTGCGGGAGTCTCAGATTCTCGGCTTGGTCCGTTGGTTGGCACAGAGTTTACCTGGGCTTTGCTGAATTCCGACAACACCCTAAAAGTTTTGAAAGAAACCCGTGTGACTGGTTGTTGGCTGGACGCTCAGCTTCTGGGGCAGTGATAAGAATGGAAAACTGCTGTTAGCTGGTTTTGTTAAAAGCTCTCTCCCAAGACTGCGCTGCTTTTCCAACACTCCCCACCCAGGAGTTAGGCAGATTGAGTGGGCAGGTTGTAAAAAAACCTCACAAAGCAGAAAAAAGAGGATTTGATACAAATTCTCCAGAGAAACCGGCCCCCAACAAATTCCAGGGCAGAAGCATCTCCCATAGTTAGAATCCGCATGTCTTTTACTTTCTGAACAGCCTAATTGTGGGCTGAGAGTTTGCTCAGCCAAACATGCCAGTGTGGGTATGTGTGTCCCCAAATGCCATCGGTGGCAGAGCAGAATCAGCAGAGACTTCAAAACAAGTGTCTCAGCCCGAGGCAGATCTAAGGGATGGCATGTGCCCTGCGTACCACTTAAAGGGGGGTGCCACTGGGAAGTTTCCATCAACCATCACAGCAAGTGAAAATGAAGACCTCTCTATTGGAGAGTCTCCATGGGTCAAGGCAGGTTCTGAGATCTTATTCAGCTGAGCATAGAAAGAGAAAAAACTGAGAAAAACCTAAAAGACTTGGAGCCCATCATAGACCAATTTTCATCAGTGAAAGCAAGGCAGGTGCGCTGCCATTTGCATATGGTGCCATCGTGTGTTAGATAAAAAATAACAAGCTTGACATATTTCTGAACTGATATTAAGGTGTCAGATGTTTGGACAGGAACACAATTTCAGTGATTGTCAAAGGTGCCGTTTTCCATAAATAGGCCTCTGGTCTTAGGGCTGGGTTCCAAATGGCACAGCAGCCAAGCATCAAGACTCTGGGACATGAACCTTGGTGAAGTGAGAAAGGGTCAAACAAGTTTTCTAAGTGCGAGATTCATTTTGTTCTGGGACCAGTAACTGGGGTATCAGGGTAGGGATGGGGGTGCATAGGCTGGATTAGGTGTGGAATCAGGGAAACCTCAGTGCTCCCAGAAAATACAGCTGAGATTAGTGTACACAAGTGTGCAAGGGTGTATGTAGACCCTGGTGTGGCACTGTGGCTTAATGTGCTAGACCACAAGGTCACTTTGAACCTCAAGGTAGGTGGTTCAAGCTTACCAGCCGCTCCTTGAAAACCCTATACAGAGTCTCTATGAATCAGAACCGACTCGATGGCACTTAACAACAACAACATGTAAGTATACGCAGGACATGTACCTATTTACTCTCTTCGGTACTAGCACTTCCTGCCCCCTTCACTGGTACTTCTTGGGATCACAGGAAGCCATTCTTACTGTGTGTGTGCATACACACATGCTCCTGGGCCTTTTAGAATGTACACTGGTTAATGACTTCTTCTCTCCCTCCCAAGGTTTGTGAAAATGCACGTTCCATTTCTGAAGTCAATCTATTTGCCATCTCCTCCTTGATATCAGTGCAGTATGTCATTGAGACATGTAGGTTCACAAGGCAACAAAGCTGCCTGGATCCCAAAAGACTGGGATCTGCTTAGGTTGGGCCCAGAAGACTCATCAAACTCCCCTTAATTTGGGCTTATGGAAAAGAGAATTTTAGGGTTCTGTTGCTTGTTTGATTGCCTTCCCACTGAGCTCTGCTCTTACCTGTACCATCCTCACCACCCCAGCCTGTCACTGTCAAGCCATTACTTCCGAGAACAGAAGAACAGCCCATACAATTACGGACACTAGATTTTCAACATGGACACTGTTATGGATCGAACTGTATCCTTTCCCCACCCCCTACCCCCACCCCGACACACACCAAATATGTCAACTTGGCTGGGCCATGGTTCTCAGTGGATTGGCAGGTACATAATGATGCCCTGATCTGATGTAAGGGGAGCTCCAAGCTGAGGTATGGTCTGCATCACCTTTCATCTTGCAAGAGATAAAAGGAGAGAGAAGTAAGCAAAGGCAGATTAACTTGACTAGTACTGAGAAGAACCGCTGCGAACAAACAGAACCTGTCCTTTGGACCCGGGTTCCTATGCTGACAACCACCTAAACCTAGAGGAAGATGGATGCCAAGACACACAGCGATCTCCAAGGAATGCTAGAAAGAGATCTGGCAGAGAGAGAAAGCTTCCCCTGGAGCCAGCAGCCTCCGTGAGAGAATAAATGCCTGCTGGTAAGGCCACCCACTTGTGGGATCCCTGTCCTAACAGCACTAGAGAACTACGCCAGCCACCAAGACAGTTTAATAGGGAAAGGACAGTCTCTTCAAGACACAGTGCTACAGGGCAGGGAATAGACACAGGATAGTTTGAGTGCTGGGGAGGGGGGCAATACACAAGAAAGGGGAGGAGAATGGAAAAACACAGGGGATGGGAGAACAAATTAGGCAGGTTCGCATGAGCTAAGTGGGACAGAGGTAAATAATGATGTATGTATAACCTTGGAACAACAGGGCTCTGGGATACAGGGATTGAGGCATGGTTGGAATGGGCAAAAGGTGGGGGAAATGTTAAGATGCTTGGCTGTCTTTTGAATCTTGGTTTCTCTTGCATACCATTTATAAAAAAGACACTTGAGGGGTAGAGAAAGGAATAGCTAGAAATATCATCATAGAAAGCTTGTAAGTCCATCTTCTGCCTATAACTGATTGTTGTTGTTAAGTGCCATCGAATCAGTTCCAATCCATAGCGACCCTGTACAGGGTTTCCGAGGCTGTAAATCTTTACGGGAGCAGAAAGCCTCATCTTTCTCCCGCGGAGCAGCTGGTAGTTTTGAACTGCTGACCTTAAGGTTCGCAGCCCGACTCATAACCACTATGCTACTTTATAACTGATTGGAGTACCCAAAATGGGTCTACAACGTGCCCAGTAAAGGAGGCTTCCTGCAGAACCTCTGCATTACATAGGACCATAGGTGGAATCCTGAACTGCATACACAATCTTCTGAGGCGGAAGTTTCCACTTGAAAGGGCAAGCAGACCAGCCTGAAGTGGCTAGAACAGAAGATACTTCTTGAAAGAAAGACCAACAGGAAAAATACAAAACTAAACAATAACAGCAGTCCGACTGATTACTACAAGAACAAGCAAACTGCTCACCCAGGAGCCATCAAGGCAAGTGGTCAGATCCCCTCAGGGCAAACCCCCTTCCAAGACTAAGACTCAAGGGGAGTACATGAGCAGACATGCAGTCTGACTGGTGACCACGTTGGTCACTGATAAGGGGAAGTGAGGGAAAAACAGCAATGAAGCTGCAAGCTAAGCCCTACAACATTCAATAGACTCCTGTGAATGTGAGTGGAGACCTGGTTGGCCAGCAGTATATGGCAAGACCTGGGGACTCCTAGGCCCAGAGGCAGTGACACAGCCACACAGGACTAGAGTGGAGAGTGAAGTGTGCAGCTGATAAGAAGAGAGGGCATATGCATAAGAATACCCACACTTGTAGATAGTACCCACTTGATCTGGCTTCAATGGCTGAATGATCAGAACTCAACTAGAAGAAGAAAGAAGAGGAAAAAAAAGTAATCTGATACAATTTGATGAACTTGACCTACATCTATGGATGCAGTAGCTCAAAAGAAGGAACAAATCTTTACAGCGAGGAGCATGCCCACCCCCTAGGTACACAGGGTAGACAGGGATGGGCAACTTAGACATTGGCTACCCAAAATGGGGAGGGCTACAAAGGCAAGAAGTGACTGGCTTACAAGCTTTCAAGAGGGAGTCTAGATCCAGAGGGCGTGGAGGAAGGTAGAATCTCCACTGAATAGTATCCAATCTGTCTGGGTGGGGCTGATGAAAGGAGATGGGGATAGCACTCATGTGGCACAACAGTGAATAATTGCTATCAGGACTGACTATGAGGGTTGGAAATGTAAAGGTAGACATTTTGCAGCAAAAGGAGGGGAGTGGTTGACTTTGCAGTCTAGGAGTGGAGGTCCCTGGGACCATCAAGGCAGAAGAGTGGAGAGCGGGACCCTACCCAGTGAAGCAGTGACACCAGATATGAAGGCAGAGACGATGACATGGAGAGATGGAGTGGCTGGGGACTTTAGACTCAGAAAGGGAGAGGGGCCGTGTGCTGACAACCGGGGGGCAGGCTTGCAGGGTATACCCTTTGGATGGTTGATGATGCATGGAGGGGATTGTAACCATGGCAATGAAACGATATATGATAGGATGAATGTAAAGCTAATGTTCTCCCATGTAAACTGTCACTCAATTCACAACAAAAACTTAAAAAAAAGAAAAGAAATGGTGCTAGGACAACTGAATAGCTACATACACACACAAAAAAAAGTTATAAAAAGATCAATTCAAAGTAGATCACAGGCCTAAATGTAAGAGCTAAAACCATAACACTCTTAGAAGAAAACATAGGTGCAAATCTTAGTGGTTTTGGATTAGACGATGAGCTCTTAGATACTATGGCAAAAGCACAAGCAACCAAAAAAATAATAGGTAAATTACACTTCATCAAAATGAACACTTTTGTGCTTCAAAGGACACTAGTAAGAAAGTAAAAAGACAACTTAGAGAGTAGAAAAAAAAAATTACAAGCCATAAATCTCATAAGGTTCTTATAACTCAACAATAAAAGACAATCAAATTGAAACATGGGTAAAGAATTTGACTATACAGTCTCTAAAGAAGATAAATGGAGTCCTGGTGTGGCACTGTGGGCTAATGCGTCAGACTGCAAAGTCGTCTGAACTGCAAGGTCAGTGGTTCAAGCTCATCAGCTGCTCCTTGGAAACCCTATATAGGGTTGCTATGGGTTGGAATCAACTCGACAGCACTTAATAACAACAGCAACAAAGTACATATATAAACGAACAATAAGAACATAAATAACTGCTCAACATTGTAAGTCACTGTTGTTGGCAATGTGTGCATTGAGTCCTATTATATAGGGTTTCTGAGAGCTGCTGGCAGTTTTAAACTACCAACCTTGTGGTTAGCAGTTCAGTGCTTATCTTACAGCACCACACCAGGG